TATATGAATAAACATATATTCATATATATATAATTAAGAATGTACATTTGGTTGTCATCTGGGTAGAAAAATGTATGTGCCCCAAATGATCAGATTGAGAAATGTGGACGCTGTAAGCTTCTGAATGATGATTCAAAACGGTGAACCATTTTTCTCCTACATCCCCTTTCTCAACCCTTAATGAAACAGGGCAGTGAGCTCGTACCTGTCCTGCAGTGTCGTACAGTCCAAGCAAGTGCTGCTTGCCTCCCACTGTCACGGTAACTAGGAGAGAGGAGAAGAGAATTCATAAACACAGGTTTCAATCGGTGGAATGTCTCATGCCAGCGTCTCTCTGGGCAGGGAGGATGAGCAGATGTCTCACTGGTGTATATTCTAAACCAAGTTGACAGCACGGTTTCTGAAAGAAAGAGAACCTTGGGCCTCAGTGACGGCAGATGGTCTGAGCCACCTCCAAATCTCTCAATGGAGATGGGTATTTTTGGTGTCACTCGAGTGCTCTGTAGACTGTCTGGTGACCTTTACTAGGCTCTGCAATATGAAGCTCCTGAAGGAAAGGATGCTCAGCCCCTTTCTGGCTAGGTTGTCACTATCTTTGGCTTGGGCTACCTCTCAGGATACAGGATCAGGTAACAAACCAATAGAAATCCCTGTGTTCTTGGGGCTGAATAGACGGTTCTGTTGGTAAAGTGCCCACTGTTCAAACAGAAAGACTTGACTTTGGATCCCAAGCACCCATGTAAAAAGGCATGCATCTACATGTATGCTACACTATACTACAGAGAGAGAGAGTGAGAGAGAGAGAGAGAGAGAGAGAGAGAGAGAGAGAGGAGAGAGAGAGAAGAGAGAGAGAGAAGAGAGAGAGGAGAGAGGAGAGAGAGAGGAGAGAGAAGAGAGAGAGAGGAGAGAGAGAGAAGAGAGAGAGAGGAGAGAGAGAGAAAAGAGAGAGAGAAGAGAGAGAGAAGAGAGAGAGAGAGGGAGAGGAGAGAGAGAGAGAAGAGAGAGAGAGGAGAGAGGGGGAGAGGAGAGAGAGAGAGGGAGAGGAGAGAGAGGGAGAGGAGAGAGAGAGAAGAGAGAGGAGAGAGAAGAGAGAGAGAGAAGAGAG